CGACGCACTTGGTGGAAGTCTACGCGCATTTCAAGCGAATTGCTGTGGAGCTGTATTTGACTCAATGCACGATCGACTTGGAGCAGACACACGTGCTCAAAGTTGCTGGTCTCCTGATCGATTCGGCTTGATACGTCAGAAAGGTCATGAGGCACGACTCCTTGGAAAGCTTAAGCCCTGGGTGCGAGAGTTCTTCAGCTTGAAGCTGGAAGTCTTGTTGTTGCCTGACTTCACTGTTCAGGCTGCCAACGTCGCGCAGTTCTTCAATAATGAAGTTCGAGGCGGAAGTTGTTGAGAAGCACAAAGTCTGGCAGAAGAACGCACGTGAATCTTTCGGCAATGGTGCGCGAATGGCACACGAAGTTTCTATGCTTCGTGATTTGCCAAGGACGATCGCGCCACGAGAGGACGCCGCGAAGCAGGCCGCACCCAAGGTGCTATGTGATCGTGAGATGGACGACTGGTGCAAGGTTTGGAGGCATCATGCAGCGAGTTCCATGCAGTTGCCAGGTGATTTTCATGACTGCCCTAGACTACCCTACCATTACTCTGTCACGACAGCTACTCCCCAGGGGCCATCGCCATGCGTGCTTTCATTCATGCATCGCACCTGGGTTTGCTGGTCTTCGGACGGTTATTTGAACAGTGCGAGCGTTTGGGTGCTTGGCCAGCTTCGCGCATTTGACATGAGATGGCGAGGATTCCCAAGGCATCGGGAGGCAAGGCAATCGATTGATCGCGCTCATGTACTGTTCCCTCAGGCTGTGGTCGAGGATACGAGCGCCGATCGCTGCCCAGGGGTTGGGTTGCCAGCCGTCGGCTGAAATCTGGGACCTTGGTGGAGCTCGTTCCTCGTCCGATTCCGCCTTCGGCCTCAACCTCGAGGCGGATGTAGCTGGGGCCATTGGAGTGCATGCGGTTGCGGCAGCATTGGATGCTTGGAAATGTTTCGAGCTGACATTGAGTGGGGCATCGTTTGAGGAGGCCAGGGGTCTGGGCTACAACTTGAGGCTGCTCTGGATGTTGTGCCAATGCTATTCCCTATCCAGAAGGTTACAGGCGCTCGGTTCCCTCAGCTATGCGACTTCAGCTGTTCAAGGTATTATTGCTGACTGCTCGCGCGCACGAGGCATCATGCGAGTCCTGCTCTCTCGTTTGGTTGCGCGAGTTCGAAGGCTAGGAGTGGCGCCGAGGGCGCCCATTGACGACGCGTCCTTGCAATGGACGGGGCCCAGTCACAAGGGCATGGTTGTCTTGCGGCAAGCGGCGTCGGAACTCAAGGCTGGAGCGGAGTTGCCGGGCTCGGTGATTCAACCAGACAGGCCAGGTATCGTGGCGAGTGCAACGGGAACTAAGATTAGCCAATCAGTTCCCAGGTTCGCGAGGCTCGCAAGCTTGCCAGGCAAAGCGCAACCTGGAAGATGACCTGCACGGCGGCGGCGCTCACAGGGCGCGGGCGCGGGCCGGGCTTCAGAGGCCCATCGCCAGGGAGGCCAAGGTCCTCATGCTCCAGAGAGTGCTGGGGACGCGTGTAGGCTGCTCGTTCAATGCTGGGCCGCTGCCTTCGGCGGCTCATGGGGCTGGAGTGTCTGGAGTCACGGATGAGGCGCTCGCGATGCTACGGCCCGCGGCCGGGGTGCTCATTGGCGCGAAGAAAGGTTCGTCATCGTTGTCGCTGCATTTGGCGACGCAGGCCTCAGAAGAGCACGGCCCGATCTACATGGCGGCTTGGGACATTGCTGATCGGTATTGCAGTTGGAAGTGGGCAGGGCGGATATCGCGCAGCAGGCTGCACCGCTCTTGGACTTCGGTTGCGGCCGTGCTCTTTCGTGGCCCCAGTTGGAAGCATGCCGAGGGGTCGATCGGAGCTGTTACCCTCAGCCTTTGGCGAATTGGTTGGGCCATGCACTCGTCGACCGCGCTGATGACGAACTCAGAAAGGTCGTTCCTCTTTTAAGCGCGGCTCCCAAGGTCGTCAGGAAGCCCATGTGTCAGGGTGCACCGCGCTGGCAAGGTGAGCGGATCGGGGCGCGCGTTCAGCATATGCTGGGGGCGGGTGGGTCCAGTTGGTTTCGCGTGCCCAGGGCGCGCTTGGGGGCCGAGAATGCACCTGTAAAGGCAGGGGCGGCAACGGCTTCATTGCGCGCCCATTGGTCTGGTGCGGTTTGGGCCCGGTACTATCGGCATCGAATCGGACTCGCGCAGCATGAGTCTCGTTGCAAACGTGGAGCTGAGCGTGGCACTGCGGGGCGCTACTATTATCAATGCGATGAGCTCTGATTGCCGGTGGACGATGTCGAGGAGCAGGGAGGGGTGCTGCCCGAGGCTCCTCAGGACACTCGTCAGTATATGCATGATCAAGGAATGCGTCATGTGGAGCCGAACTGAGATTATGTTGAGCTGGCGGTGGCGCTCCCCTTGTTGCCACTGGACATCCCCGAGGCGGAGTTGCAGACAGACTACTGGCTCTGGGGAGGTTGGTCATCGGACAGGTCAACTTGGCGAAACGTGTTACTTACCGACAACTCTGGATGTGCTTCAGCGGTGCCAGAGATCACGCGGCGCGGTTGGTCCCTCGCTATGCTTTCCCAAGCTGGCTTGCCCATCAGCACCACGTGCGGACCGTTACCAAGACGCTCGCAGTCGGTTGGGCGTGCTGTGCTGAGCGGTATGCGGTACTTATGGCGGTTCGAATGTTTCACAACTTTGATTTTATTGGCATTGATCTGCTTGGGCTGTGCGACGAGGGCAATCTCTGGTCGGGCGCCTGGACTCTGCGACGGGCGCCCATGCGTATATTTGGAGGCAGGTTAAAGCGGCCATGAAGTTGTGGAGTCGACCTAGACCTAGCTTCTTCTGGTTGCCCGCGCAGAAGGATTTCGAGTAGTATGCTGATCGTGGAAGCTCGCAGATGTTCTGTCTGGGCTATATATGGGCTGACATTTCTGCCAGAGAAGGTGCTTTCAAGCACAGAGTCAATCATGGATGTGCAGATTATGTCAAGGGTGAGTTGAACAGGTACCAGAATGTTGCCAGGCATATGGCATGGCCTATGCAGCGAATGCTCAAGCATGAAGACTGGCATATGATCATGTTGTCAAGATGAAGATTGAGACTGATGCGTATGCTGGGCCAGAACTGACGGTTATTAAACATGATGTGTTCAAGCTCGTCAATGGCATTTTTTGTGGCACGTGCAATCGCAACTTATCTTCAAGGACTGGTCCTGCTTTTGCGCAGTTCCTGAAGTCTGAATGTTCTGGCAACGTGGTGGACAACCTACGGGCGGAGGCTTTGATTGCGAACTTCTGGGCCACTCCTTTGTTTTCTGCTGCGGCGGGCAAGGCCTTGAGCGATGAGATGGATCAATTGTTTGATAAACGTATTTGGCAAGGCTCGCCTACCACGATCGGCGCTTGGACTAACGCGGAGGTCACCGAGCACAAAGGGCACACGTTACGACGAACTGGGGGAGCGATTTTTGTGAGCGTTGCGGGGCTTGGGCATCGACAGGTCCGTCGCAGGCGTTGCGCTCACTGTGCCAGAGCTTCCCCAGCGGACTTACGTCTCCAACCTACAGGGGCGCCTCAGGCGGCTCATGGCAGAGAGGCACCCCAAGTCAAATCGGCCGCTGTAGCCCTGACGGGCCCAATCGATGGATGTGGTGGAACTTATGTCGCGTGCGGCCTGGCTGATGTTACGAAATTTACCTGGTGCCTGGTCAGTGGTGCTGCACGGTTGCGTATACATGGCAGGTGATGCCTGCATGGCCTGCCCAGTGGATGGAGGTGATGGAGTTCGTGTCGCGCGCGGCCTTGCTGATTTCACGGAAGTTTCCTGGGAGGTGGCTATTGCTGGGCTGCATGTTAGAACGCAAGTCCCGAGGAAGCCCCGATTCGGGGAACACCTCGGGCTCGCGTCGGGGAACACCCCGGGCAAACGAAGCGTCGCCAAGTCTTGCCGTGGTCGACTACTTCAGTGGCGACATCTATGTCTGTGGCGCTTTGACATCGATTTCGCACACGTCTACGGCGACGGAGACGGCGCGGGCTCCGCGCACCACGTGTAGCGGGGCTTTCTGGCCCTGGGCGTGCGCGGCTTCGTGGAAGTCCTCAGGACTGCAGGCGTCCGCCTGCCGCCGCCGCGTGTTCGTCTCGGCGGACGCGCGCGCTCCACCTCGAGCCCTCGAGCCCTCCTCCTCTTCCTCTCTCCCCCACGATTTCCCGAAACGGCTTTCACAACGGCTGGGGGACGACATAGTCCGATAACTTGGCCGAGCTCTGGCCGCAACGTTCGGCCACATAGGCGCGTTCGAAAGACAGTGGGCGGCGGTAAATAGCCGGAGGCATCTTCGACCCCATCTGTGCATATACACTGATCCGACACCGCGCTTGTGCATTTGTGGAATGATCATCATCCTCGGAGTCTGGTAAGGTGTACTATTATCCACCAGCGCTCTGTGCAACTAGCCTCCCTCCATCAAAAAAACGGTTTCCCGGCGCTGTTTCGGCCTCTGGGCGGCACAGCGACAGCCTTGAATCGCTACGAGACGGTCGTCCAAACGCGGGCCCAAAGCGTTCCTAAAGCCCCAACGTCTCTCCAGGATGCCGCAAGAATCTACAAGAAGCCTCGAAGAGAAGCACATCATATCATATGCTTCGAACGAGGCCCTAAGACGCGACGCACACTCAGAAACACGTGATTCAAACTGTGTTTTCGCAAGCGGATTGATCAATTCGGCAAGCTTTCAGACAACCTGAATAAACAACCACATTGGCCCATGAAAGCCGGAAGAAAGCCCAAGGCGGGCCCAGGATGCCCAAACAGAGAATCCCCCGAGACGGAGACCGCCCAAAGAGAGCTTCAAGACGACGCCCAGAGCCGCCAAGACTTCCCAAATGTGGTTCAAACGACAGTATTCGGGATAGCTCGGTAGAACCATCTCCCCTAAGACATCCGACGGGCCCCGATGGGATGCCAACAACGGGAGGCTGTTTAAGACTCGCGCTATTTCAGACGCGCGCTGATGTCAAACGGGTCTTAGACTAAATACCATTCCTTCTGAACTGCTACGCTGGCGCGGAGACGCCACTTGGCGCAAACACCTGCGTTCAAATGTGGGATGCGGAGCGCACCTGACGCAGACACGTGGCATACATGTATGGGTTGCTCGAACGACTACTGCATTCTTCAGAGGGGCGTAGCTCCACATTGGCTATGCATCTGGCGTGCACACACACAGACACATCTTCTCTGCAAACTACGCACCACGCGACACAACGAGCACATAACCAGCTGGGGTCGTTTTTTGGCTTAGGAATCACCGCTGCCCTCTGCAACTGTGCGGTCTTCAAGGAGGCCCGCGCAGCCGAGCCGGCAAAAGGAAAGCTCAGACCGCGGGGAGCCTTGCCGGATGGCGGCCCGAGCAGCGACCGCACCGATGCCCCCGACGCAGCTTTTCTGCGCGGGTTTTGGCCTTCGGCCGAGAGCCCGTCAGCACTTGTAGACAAGGATTGCAAATTCGGCCTGGTAGAAGCAGTACATCAGGGTACCATTTTGCGCGGTGACATCGAATGAGAAACCCTTCCCGATGGCGCAGTGCCACTGGGCGCCATGCTGCCTGTCCAAGGTATCCTTGATGAGCCTAGCAGCCAGCTCGAGCCCCTGATCTGAGCCTGCATGTTTGTCGATCGACCCCGTGATGATGTCAAGCACCTCCGTCTTCATCTCGCCCGCCATGTCCGTGTGCTTGATGGTCGCCTTCTGCATCTGCTTCAGCAGGGCTGAGGGAATTGGTTTTCCAGCCATGGCTCCTGTAGCTAACTAGGTGCCCTGGGCGGGAGGAGAAGAAGGCCTTCTCTGCGACGGGGTGGCCTTCGCCGAGATCTGTGGCTGCCTTGCGCAAAAATGTGTACGGATACGCTGCGACGAGGGCTGCATTTCGACCACGGGGGCTGTTCAAGGTCCAACAGGATATCGCAAGACATCGTCATCGTCTAATGCTGGCCGAGCGCAGTGGAACCGCCGACCTCGAACATCAGAGGCGACTTTTGAGCAGCTCCCTACAGCTTTTCCAGATCCCCCAGCTCCCGATCCTTGGCGGCGCGCACAAGGGGGTGGAGGGAGGGGGGAGGGCTTCTTAGAAGGAGGCTGCTTCTTGGAAGGCGCCGGCCATACACCTATAGACAAGGCCCGCGCCTTAAGAGACGCATGGGTGCTTCTGAGAAGCCCTCCCCCCTTCTCCCACCCCCCTCTGCGCATGGCTGAGATCCCGCATCGGGGGGCGGACATCTCGACCCCGAGGAAGTAAAAAACAATTACACCAAAGAAACATCCCAATCAAGGAATGGTTTTCGCTGAGGACATCGACCGGGAACCTGGGAGCCCGGGACACCGAAATCGGCCCGGAACCAATCACCGGGAACCCGGGAACCCGGAACCGGAACCCGGAATACTGGGAACCCGGGAACCCAGCCTGCTACCAAAATCCGCGGGAAACTTTCGCCAGATCTTTCAACTTCCGGTAGGACCCCTTCAGTGCAAGCACTGATTGGGGAATTTTGAACACGGACTGCCCTGCGGAAACCGTGCCAGTTTCAAACTTCGAGGTCTCAGGCGAACCACCAGGCCCGTCCTGCCGACACGTCTGGGAGCGAGACAAGGAAGAGGGACGGAAGAGGAAGAAGAAGAAGAAAAAGAATGATAATAAGAAAAAGAAGAAGAGGAAGAAGAAGAAGAAGAAGACTCGGCACTGCGGGTGGTCTCGTGCCGGGCCGAAAACGGAATCGGGCAGCGTGAAACCTCGGGAAATTCTCGACAGTCGAAAGACGCGGAAGATCTCGACTGTCGAAAATACTGCGCACCGTGCAGCGCGAAGCGACGCAGGGACGGAGGCGGACGAGGAGGACGACGACGAGGAAGGACGACGACCCCTTCAGTGCAAGCACTGATTGTGAAGGGACCCAGGGACACACAAGTCAATACACACACAAATAACAGGATTCCCCATATTTTCTGGGCCTTAGCCTCCCCCACCCCACTTCCCATATTTTTTCCCATATTTTTTCTGGGGAATCGCCGATCCACTGTCTGTGTGTTTGCTTCCCTCCTGAGATTGGGGAAGGAAACACGCGACCCCTTCAGTGCAAGCACTGATTGGATCGAGGGTTGAGGGTCGAGGGTCGAGGATCGAGTCGAGGAGGAGGAGGAGGAGGAGGAGGAGGAGGAGGAGGAGGAGGAGGAGGAGGAGGAGGAGGAGGAGGGGGAGGAGGAGGAGGAGGAGGAGGAGGAGGAGGAGGAGGGAGGTAGGAGGGGGAGGAGGAGAGGAGGAGGGAGGAGGAGGGAGGAGGAGGAGGAGGGAGGAGGGTGGAGGAGGAGGAGGAGGAGGAGGAGGAGGTGAAGGAGGAAGCGCGCGACCTCGGGGCGCCGCTCCCCGGCCCCGCCCGGGGCTGCGCCCGCGGAGCGCATGCCCTGGGCGTGCCGCTCCGCGCCTCGCCGGCCCCAAGAGGCGCAAGGAGGCCGCAGGAGGCCCCGGGCGAGGTTTCCAGGAGCCCCCCAGAAAGCTCCGAGGCAGGGTCCGGGGTACCAGAGGGGGAGCAGAAAGCCCCAGGTGGCCCCAGGAGGTTCCAGGAGGCCCCCAGGAGGCTCCGAGGCGGAATCTGGGGTACCAGAAGGTATGTCGGGGCTCGATTTTGGGAGGATGTCTCAACCGCCATTCTCTGAGAATCGGGGTCCAAATCATTGTGTTTTTGAAGGTGTCATGTTAGAATGTCGAAATTCCCATGTGTTTTTGGACCCTGACGTCACGATCTGTGTGAGGGGTGCCACCGATTTTCAAAATTTCGAGGATGTCCCTAGCGAAACGGCCAGAACAATCGCGAACGACGCGGCGCGTAAACATCAATCGCCTCTGAGCTCTACTCCCTCGGACAAATGATTATGATAGTATATGTGTATATCTTACAGATAGATGCATAACATTTGTTGCACCACGGAGATTGCACCACATATATTGTTCCACCTAGATTGCTAGACTGCAGAAACACACTGCTCTTGGTTCACACGGGCTAATATTATTTTTGCTGCTGTTCTTCCTCAAGAAACCGTTCCTTCACGCTGACGTCCTCCTCTGCTCACGGGAGGCTTCCCACTCCCAAGGGCCAGTGGGCCAGCGACGCGCAGGTCCCGCAGCATTTTCTCTGCCTGCTCCGACGCCTCGATCTGGTCCAAGGCCGCCCAGCCGACGTGCAGGCAGCGCACCAACCAGAGGCCTCCCAGGTGGGGTCCGAGCCGGTGGGGCCGGACGATCGCGCCGCATCGCGTACGCATCGGCGCCGCTGCGTGGATGCAGTCGGGCTCCACGTTGAGCGGCACCATAATGCATCGGCGATAATAACGGCGCAGTCATGCGACCCCACGTGCTCCAACCCCGTCTGGGAGGCCTGGAGCAGAACAGGGGACGGCCCTTCAGTTGGCACGTCCGCCACGGGCACCGACAAAAATGGGCACCGTGCCCAACAACAAATTTGTGGGTGACCCGAAAGGGGGTCCAGCTGAAACGGGGTCGTGCAATGGATTTGGAGCAAATGTATTGCAAATCTTTTGCGCCGGAAAATTGTATTGCGTTGTACTGCAAGTAGTGCATGGCGCGCGAAAATGCAGCAATACATTTGCGCCCCGAAATGTATTGCACGCCCCAGAAGTATTGCAACCCCATAAATTTATTGACCAAATCTCTTGCACCGCCCCCTTGTCACTGGACCCCTTTTTGGGTCAATCCGAACATTTTGTCCAAAACCGACGGCGGCCGCTGCTCGACCGGCTGATCAACTCTTTTGTCTCCACTGGATCGCGCCCGCGGCCACACTGACAGCGAATCGGGCTCAAAATGCGCAGAAAAGTGCGGCTAGTTCCCCGATCGCTGCTTGCACTGAAGGGGTCCTGGCGGAAATTGAAAGACTTGGCGAAGGTGTCCCGCCGATTTTGGTGGCCAGCTGGGTTCCCGGGATCCCAGTTCAGGGCTCCTGGATTCCTGGCTGTTGGTTCCGGGCCGATTTCAGTGGGTTCCAGATTCCCGGGTTCCCGGTCGATCTCCTTATCGGTCAAAACCGTTCATTGATGGGGGTTTGTCTCTGGTGTAATCCTCCTCCACGTGTTTTCCGTACCCACGGGGCAGGGACCGACCGTCCTGGCATTCCTATAGACCTACCACGACATGCTCCTGGAACCCAAAAATGTTCGAAAAACAAAACAAGCCTAAAACATATTCCCGATGTGTGAAAGCAAGACAGCCCCAGCCAGAAATGCTCTAAGAACTTTCGTGGAAACCGCACAAGGTTCTTAGAACATTGTTTGGTAGGCCTATAGGCGAGCCAGGACGCTTCGCCACTGCTTGATGCTTTCCGTGCCAAAGTCGATCGCCCCGACACCCAGACATGCGACGTCCTGATTGTTTCAGGACGGCGTCCCTGGAAATCCCGACCCTTTCCCCAGGATCTGTTTTTTTACGACGACATGGGGGCGATGGAAGCCTCTGAAAGTTCGAGGCAGGCTGCAATGTATCAAACCACGCTGGCATCTCCGCCACCCCGACCGACACCGAAGCCTCGGCCGACACAGCGGGAACGCCTGAGAGAAGTATACAGTGATGCTCGTCGCTGCAGCGCGTCCCCCGCTGAGGGGGGGGGGCTGCCTCGCGCCTTCTGCGGCTGTGCGCTGCAACGGTGCTGCTCGCTCAGGCGGGCACTCAAGGCGGAGCAGCGGAGAACACCCAAACCCTTTATCTGGGGCGGCTTTCTTGGGAGGGGGCCAGCTCTTCCTATCCCCCTTCTCAATCCCCCTTCACGGCCCTTACAGACAAGCGGTTGCTCCTGGAGTGAACATCCGATCGAGGCATGGTTGCGCTGCCGCTCGATCTAAGGATTCGGACGAGCTCATCAAAAAAAGCCGGCCACACAATTTAGCGGGAGGAGGGGAATCTGGACTAAGGAAATGGGTTTTCTGTGGGCAGGCGAGGAGGGAGGAGGAGAGTGGAGACTAACTACCGTGACCGCTCGAGCTCGGGGGACGGGGCTGCGTCAGCTACTACGATAAAAGGAAGTTGGCGGCCTCATCGTCAGCGGCGAACTCAAACTTTATACACCGATGTTTTTTTTTCCGGTCCCGCATTGAGATTCGCACAAGAAAACGGATTATGGTGTATACGGCATCCTGGTGTATACATGTTTTGTTGTTTCCACGGGAAAACGGGGAAATAAGTATACACCACACCACCCCGACGTCGTCCCCGACCTTCAAAACATCCTGGGATTGAACAACAGCCCGCCATTGGTAATGTATATGCTCCAATTTCCGATTGATTTTTTTGAACGACGCGATCATGTCTGGGTGCCCGTGTCGATCGCCCCGGCACGCGCCTGGGCTCGGGGCGGCCCCCCATGGACGGCACGCGCGCCCGCGACGCCCCCTGCGGCCTGGGCCCCTCGACCGCGAAGCCCCACGATGACACGCGGGGGGCGGGGCCGTGGTCAAGTCGGGCCTGTCCCTCTAAAGGGGGAATATCCAAAATAGTCAAAACATAATCTGGGGACTATTTTTGGAATATTAATTGACTTTTTTGGTGCATCTGTGGGGTATTTTCTAAATTTGTCGCCGAAGATCCCCTCTGTAGGGGGACACGCCCGACTGAAGGCTGTGGGCGGAGGGCCCGCACGGGGCGCGGCCCACGACCTCGCGCCCCGGCGCCCAGGCCGCGAGGGCACGGACTTAGGTCGGGCATGTGCCCCTACAGACGTATTTTGGACGAAATTTCAAAAATACACTAGAGAAAAACCCAATCCGTGGATGGTTTTCGCTACAGAAGATCGACCGGGAACCCGGGAGCCCGGGAACCAAGAACCCACCGAAATCGGCCCAGAGCCAATAACTAGAATCAGGGAACCCGGAACCGGGAACCCAGGAACCCAGCCAGCTACCAAAATCGGAAAGAAACTTTCGCCAAATCTTTCAACTTCCCCTAGGACCCGCAAGCACTGATTGGGGAAAAATACCACCCCAAATGGTCAAAAATAGTAAAACAAAAAAATCGTCCCCACACTATTTTTGGATTGTTTTTGAATATCCTTCCTGCAGAGGGACGTGCCAGACTTAAGCATAGACGTGGACAAGTTCCTCGCTCGTGAGCCTCGCCGGTGAGGTCTCCTCTGTCACGGAGCAACGCTGCTGCGACGTTCCTCGACGCTTTCGGCCGCGGGAGGCCCGTTTCGGGCCCCCGTGGGGCCATCGAGAAACGGCCTCGGATGAAGAGCTGGGCCTGGGAAGAGGTATGGAGGTAAAGCGAAAGAACCGTGGCAGCGGAGGCCTGGATCGGTCCCCGGTGCCCCCGCCTCTTTGGGCCGCCTCTTTGGGCGATCTAAGCGAAAAAGAAGGGACAGCAGCGGCGCTGCCTCCCCGCGGGCCCTCTCAGCAGGCAGTTCACTTTGACAAGCTCGATCCCGCAGCATCGCGGCTCCCCACGGCTTGCAATCCAGATGCTCAACACTTCGCTCCTGTGTTTGATATGCCGTGACTCACGGGCACGTCTCCCCCAACAAGAACGGGGGCTCGTAATACACAACAACTTTCAGAATCCATCAGCCGCAGCAGGTGTCAGCTCGCGTGGGACTTTGTATCTGATTTTGTTCCGGCTTCCCTCGCGCGATCTCGTTGGACCGCCCTCGCGCGCCCCCACAGCGGGCCCGCTCAGCAAGGCACTGGCTTCGACCGCGCTTGGTCGCGCTGCCTCCCAGGCTAACGGCTTGGGGCTTGTCACGAGGGGCTTTGGAACGAACGCGCTTGGGCTCTCGCCGTCGCGCTGCCTCCACGCGGGTCCGCTCAGCAGGGGCTGGGACTCGGCCTTGTTTGGGCTCTCCTGGCGCGACGTCTCCGAGACCGCCTCCGGGCTCAGGGCCTGGGACTCGACCTTGTTTGGGCACTCCTGGAGCGCCGCCTCCGAGCCCGTCTCCTTGCTCTCCTGGCGGGGCACCTCGTCCTCGATCTGCATCACCCTCTGCAAGATGTACCTGCGCCACGCTGGCAAGATGACGACGCAGACCATGATGCCCAGGGCTATCTGGACAAACAGGCGCTGCTTGTGCGCCGCCCTGTCGGATATGGCCATTACGCCCCCGTCGAAGCAGTGCTCCCAGGAGAACCCCACGAGGATGCTGAGCGCGGTGACGTTGATCCTGACTATCTGGGCGCCGAGAGCGGCAGACTCCTGCCCGCCGCGGGTGCTCGCCGATCCTTCCTTTATTCGGTCGTGCACCGTGTCCATGACAAAGATTGCGCCGCAGACGAAGGCGTTCAGCGCCCCCGCGACCACAACCGTCTTGAGGAGGTGGTGGAGCGTCACCCCGCTGGCGTGGCAGAGCCACTCGATGGCCCAATCGGTGGCCACGAGTACACACCAAGCGAAGGACATGGCCGTGGCATTGAGGATCGTGTTGCACGTGCGGAAGATGGTGGCGTTCGCCCGCGGGTCGGGCCACTTCAGCTTGTACATGGCGATCGCCTGGCAAGAGGCGATCGCGACGGTGAGCAAGCCGATCCCATACAGTGGCAGGACGTGCCTATGCAGCTCTGGCCTCCAGTCCTCTGGTTCCTTCGCCTGCTCGTCAGGCAGGTGGTCGGTGAGGCCAAAGCGCAGAATGTTCACGGCGAGATAAGACATGGACAAGCTCGAGACTTCGTTCTCGCCCTCGATGTTCTCATCCACCATGAGCTCCTCCTTCATCTGAAAGCCGTGTTTCTCTTGGGCGCTTGATCCCGATCTCTCGTTCTTAATCCTGATGTAGTGACTCCAGTGATGAAGGTCTCTGAAAATTTCTGACAGCTTGAATGCCATCCGAAGAACCAGCTGGTTGAGTAGCAAAGACACCCAGAGAACGGCCTTTCCCACAGTCAAGCTCCACTGCTCGTCGATGTCGAACTCTTCGGACAAGTACCGATACGAAAACCTCTGGAGACTAATCCCAGAAGAGATCGCAGCGAATCCCGCCATGTGCCCCGTCAGCATAGAAAGTGCCCTCGTCCTTCGCTTCCTCCTCAAGAACTCGTGCTGCTGCTTCTGGACAGGGATCTCCATGACGTCCTGCATCCACACCTCTTTGAGTTCGAGCACGCCCCTCTTGCTGCCAGTTCCCGCCAACCGATTCCCAATGTTGTTGCCGCGAATATTGCACAGCTTGTCTTCTGGCACCAGCTCTCCATTGGTGCACTGGAGACCGTCGACATACACCCACTTGTACTCGGGCAAGGCCGCCTCGTTCTCTGGCGTGTCGCACATCACACCAGATTCCACAGCGGTGCCGACGTGCATAATCGCCAGGTAGATGAAGCAGTGGAAAAAGTGGAGGACGACCATCGTCAGCGGATTGTCCTTCGTCTCGAACATGTCGCGCAACATCGATTCGAAGCCTGTAAAGAGCAGCACAGAACAAAATATGGAGATGGTGGAGCTCGTGATCTGCCAGGAATACAGGCGAATGTCGTCGTCTGGCCAATTCGTCAGGTAAAACAGCATCATGACGGATAAGATCATGCCGAGGAGCATGAAGGAAGTGTCCGTGTCCCATGGCTCGAATTCGTGCTCCTCCTCCCACACCTCGCCCTCGCCCTCGCCCTCGCCCTCGCCTTCGTGCAGGGGCCCGCCCGGATGCCCATGCTCGTGCAGGACCCTCTCCGCGGCATCGGCGCCCTCCAGCGCGCGCCCCAGCTCGGCCCTGCCGCCACCCTGCGAGACCTCGCCCCCCCGCCGCGCCCTCGGGGACCCGCCGCCGCCCCCGAGGCCGAGCCCCTCCACGGCGGAGCGGGGCAGGCCCCGCGCCTGGGCGAGCAGCACCAGCTCCCGCAGCTCGCTCCTCCTGCGCTCCAGCTGCTCGGCGAGCCGGCGCCTCTCCGCCCCGGGGGCGCCGCCCTCCAGCGGGGAGGCCTCCGACCAGGCGGGCGACGAGCCGCGTGCCGCCGGCAGCAGCAGCGCTGCCGCGAGCACGGACCGCACCCGCGGCATGGCGCTGCGGGCGGTGGTCGGCAGCGAGGTGCCTCAACGAGGCGGCGGCCCGGTCCAGCTCGTGAGGGCAGGTCGCGCATCCGCCGGGGTCCTCGACAGCCGCTCGGGCCGCTGCGCCTGCGACTCCCCGCGCGCGTGCCCGAAGAGGGCACAGAACCATTACCCCGAACGCTCCGCAAACCATCGGGGTGGGGGTTCTTGTAGAGGAGAGAGAACTATGCACATACACCGATTCTGGCCAGGCCCATCCTGAGCCCAGGATCGGTGCATACGCCCTCTTACCTTGGCCAGGAAGGTACACGCACCGATCCTGGGTCAAGGATGGACGTTGTCAGGATCGGTGCATGGGCATAGTTCTCTTCGCCCGATCTTGCTAATTTGGGGAACCTGAAGGGCTTGTGGCCCTCGAAACTTGAAGGGATTGTGGCCCTTGGCCCCTCTCGCTGGTGGACGGGGCGGCCGCGGGCGGCACGTTTTGCTGCAGTTGCCACTCGCACCACCCTCAGTCGCCCTCGGGCGAACTGCGGGACGACTGAAGCACGACGTCAAACGTTCCATTTAGACCCACCTTCCTGCCTCACCTATTTCTGGGCGTGTGGATTTGGAAGCAGAGCGAGACCTTGCCACCAACAAAGTTCACCTGGCCGTCAGCGGGGCATCACTGGTTACGAAGAGTGGGCGCCTCAGCCTGGAAAGGGGAAGGACGCAATTTCTGCTAGGACACTTTTTCATCACTATCGTCTGTGGCAATGGGGCGGTTGATTTGGCAACTCGCATTTCCCATGCGACCTGCGGGGTTGCTTCGCCGCGCTCTTAATGACAGCAGGCAGCCCAGGAGGAGCCAACCGGCAGGGATCAAAGTTCAATGGGCTCGATGAATCACACACTCCCCCCCCACTAACGTAGCCAATCCATACCCTAACCTGACCCAGGTCCTGTCGACACTGCGCCGAAACTAACCTGACCCATTCAAGTTAACAAAGCCACCGGCTCAGCGACACCTGTTTGTCACGCGCGCTGTAGCAAATGATGCACCTGAACCGGGCGACACAGCGACTGCAAACGTGCCAACTGTACCACAAATCCTTCTTCGTTTCCATCCAATGAAGAATCTGGCTGGCGCTGAAGCGAGAGCAGCTTTCGCAATGATGGATGTGGCTGGCGCTGTGGCCAAAACAACAGTCTCAATGACGGATGTGGCCGGCGCGAGGGCGAGAGCAACTTTCGCAATCGTGCATGTGGACGGCGCTCAAGCGAGACTAACTTTCGTAATCGTGGATGTAGCCGGCGCTGAAGCGACAACAACGTTTGCAACCGTGGATGTGGCCACCGCTAAGGCGAGAGCAACTTTCGCAACCGTGGATGTGGTCAGCGCTGAAGCGAGAGCAGCATTCGCAATCGTGGATGTTGCCAGCGCCAAAGCGACAGCAACACTTGGAGACCTGGAAATTGGCACCAACACCAACACAAGAGGTTGCCTCCACAGGGGGGAGATGAGCCTCGATTTCGGTGTTGGTGGTAATATTTCGGCCACCTTGGAAGCCAGAATATTACCACCATCATCGAGATCGGGATCTTCTTCCCTCGATGGCAGCACACCGCCCGTATTGATGGTGGTGTCAACCTCTAGGCCTGCGAAACACCCACAATCATGTGGCCAGCCTTGAGGCGAGAGCAAAGTTCGCAATCATGGATATGGCTGGCGCTAGGGCGACAGCAGCCGTCGTAGTCGTGGATGCGGCTGGCGCTGAAGCGAGAGTGACGTTCGCAATGACGGATGTGGCCGGCAGTGAAGCGAGAGCAACGTTCGCAATCATTGATGTGGCCGGCGAAGATGCGATAGCAAAATTCGCAATCATGGATGTGGCCTGTGCTGTCAACCATGGATGCGACCTGGGTTAAGTGCAAAACAACATCGATATAATGGATGCGGCCACTGGTGAGGCGAGAGTATCCGTTGCAATCGTGGGCGAGGTGTCTCACTGAACACGCTCACTGGCTCTAGCGCAACCAGCAGCACAACTGAGACGAGCAGCGCCAGAAACACCATGCGCAGCAGCAACAACAAAACCAACGCCAACAACAGCAGAAATAGTAGTGCCCACCACACCAGCGACTCCAGCAGTACCCCTTCTGACCAACACGACAGCAAACAACACCACCACCACGCGCACCAGCACCCGCGACACTAGCAGCACCAGTATGACGACCACGACAAGTAATGGAGCAGCAGCACCACGCGGCACAGCACAAGCGCCACCACCAGAAACACTGCGACCACAACGACAGCAAACAGCAACCCCAAACGCAGCAGCACCAACGTCACCTGCAGCGCCACTGTGACGAGCACGACTGGGAGCAACAACGCCACGCGAAGCAACTGAATCGCAACAGGCAGTACCAATGTGACCAGCACGACGAGAACCAGCAGCACTGCACGCACCAACACACGCGCAAGGAACAACACCGCCATGACGCGCACGACAGGATCCAGCAGCACGACACGCGCCAATAAAAGCACCACCAACAGCACCACTGTAATTAATCAGCACGACAAAAAGCAGCAACACCACGCGCAGCAACACAAACGCCACCAGCAGTTCCACTAGAACGAGCACGACGGGAACTAACAGCGCCGGGCGATTCGCGCTGGACTGCGCGAGCGCCCCCACCCCTGCGCAGGCCAGACCAGCGGGGGGGAGGCGTTCACTCCAGCGCAATGCGTCATGGCCCATATCGTTCAATTTTGCGCTGGGGACCGGGGCGCCCCAGAGCAGAAATGCGCAATCCGTCCGCGCGAAGTTTTGAATGGCGGTCGCTCCCAGAGAAACGGAATGCGCCAGCCGGGGCCGTTCCCTTCGGGTTTCGAGGGGTGTACAACTGTGGTGGTAATTTGGTGGGGGTCTCGAAGGGGACGGAGATGGGGATGGGGATCGGTTAAACGATACCGAGAAGAGGGGAGAGGAAGATGAAGAGGATAGGAAGACAAGAAGCAAGGAGGGTGGGCAGCGTGGTTGCCAACAAAAATCGGCCGTCACGCGCACCACGTGCCGTGGACCGTGGCGTCAGCCAGAACGGGAGGAGCACTTGTGGAGAGCCCGGGGGCGGCATGATACGAAAATGCCCCAGCTCGTATCCACAGCCCCCTGCAGAACGATACACGGGTTGAAGCCGAGGAGGGAGGAGGAAAGTGTGCGGGCTCGTTTCTGCGCTTCGCTCCACCTGTGAGTCTGACTGGAAAACTCGCGGGGATCCGCGGTCGTTAGCTCGGTCGGCGCGCGGCCAACGCAAGCCGAGCGGGCGCCTGGGGCAAGACGGGCGACGTGGGATAGAGGCCCCCTGGATGGGGTCCGGGCAGACCGGGTCGAAGGATCGCGCCGCCTCGCCAACACATCGGCGCCGCATCGCCGATGCAGCGCCGACGTCGGCGGTGCATCGGCGACGCCGGCGCGGGGAAAACTGGGCCCCACGTCGAGCCGCATCGCTGATGCATCGGCGCTGCATCGGCGATGCGGCGCGATCCTCCGACGCCATCTGCTCCGATCCCATCTGGGAGGCCGAGAGCGACGTGGGAGGGCGGGGGAGGCAGGTGGCGGGGGCCTGGCCTCCGCTTCCCCTGGGGGGATGGCGGGAAGAGAGGACGGGCGTGGAGGGGGCACGGGGGGAAGGAGGGGTAAAGAGGGAGGCGGTCACGCGGGCGGCCACGAAGGGGCAGGAGGAGCAGCGGAAAGACCAGGTACCGTCGGGGCGCTGTCCTGAGGAACCCTATGGAAGGAGCGAGGCCCCTCCTTCCCATGAGTTAGACTTCGATGTCCTGTGGGAAACCTCAGGACAACCTGAGGCAAGCTCTGAGACAATCAAGGAACACGGAGCCCCTCCCGAACGCAACGGGTTCCTTCTGCAGCGCCCCAGCTGCACGTACGGGGGGAGTGAGGGAGGGAGAGCGGGAAGGGAGGGGGCGGGAAGGAGGGGGGAAGGTGTGCGCGACAGGGCGTGCGGGAGGAGCCCGTCACATGTCGTCAAACTCCTTCCAGAAGTCCTCCTCCTCTTTGCTGGGCTTGGACAAGGCCTTGGCCACGGGCTTCGCCTCCGCTGGGGCAGAGTTCGCACATCCGCGGGCCTCCCCCCCACAGCCAGCCTCTTCCAACAGCCTCGGCTCGCCCATGGCAGCAAGATCTAGGGAAAACATAAACCAACCACACTCGCGCGACGTAAACCGAGTTTTTTCTGCGATTATGCAGCGGAGCGCTGAATGCAATTTCGCCAGTTCCTCTGGAGTCCCTGATGGAGTACGGGATGCCCTGTCAGGGCCTCGAAAGCCAAAGACCTGGACGTTCTTGGGCGTTCCGCGTGGCTCTCGGGGCTTCTCGCGTGACGCTTCCAGAGGCCCGAAAGGCGTAGCTCAGAATATTAATTTGGCAGCACGGTTACACGGAGCCCTCTTGGGCGCCTCTTGGGCCGTCCTGGACCGGCCCTAGAGGCCAAGCGCTTCAAATTACCACAAGAGGTGTTTGCATGATTATAACATTACGGCCCTTTCTGTGTTCAGCTCGTCCAAAACGGCCCAAGAGACCCAACATATCGTTCCAAGGCGGCCCAAGAGAACCCGAGAGGGGCCCAAGAGGCACCCCACAGGGATCCAAGACGGCCAAACGGGGACCCAAGAGGGGGAACACACACTGGCATCTCGAGCCACCCACCTGCGCCCCAAGATGACCCCGGTATCCTCACCAGTGCCCCAGGGGCGCCCCCACAAGATCCCCCAGAGGCCCCACGAGGCCAACAAGAAGCCCCCAAGAGGCCAACAAAAAAGCCCCCGAGAGGACCCCAAGACCCCTTCCGAGAGGCATTCCAAGAGACCTTCACATGCATCCAGGAGGCCTCTGACCCGCATCCCATGCACGGTGCCAGGATGGGCCGAAGGCCACTACAGAAGGGTTGATCTGTGGAGCTGTGACATGGCAACGCTGGCTCATTCTCGAGCCCTGGCCCCCGACGTCGCGTGTTTCTCAGCGCGGGGCCCCCGACACTCCCGACCCCCTGCTAGAGCCTGGTTGTTTCTCTATCCTGGCCTTGTTGGTGGCCTCGGGGAGGAGGAGGAGGAGGAGGAGGAGGAGGAGGAGGA